ATGTATAGTTTCCCTTCGACTCACTGGTGTCGCTTCTTTCAGTTGTATGTTGAACTCCTCAAAGACTTTTCTGTCGTTCCTTGCGAGCTCTGTCTTCATTCTTCAGCCTTTTTGTTCTGTCTTTTGTTGTTCTCTTTCTCCTATTATGACTTAAGGCTTAAGCAGTTCTTTCCAGACCTCACCTTTGTTGCTATGTAACTCTCAACTTGTCACTTGTGACTTTTGCTCTCTTCACTGTTTTCTTCTCTCCTTCGCTTTCTTTAGTACCTCCATTATTTTGTATTTGTTTCTTTTCCTTCTCATCTCTGGTAGAGCCACAGGTTCTTCCTTTACCATTTTTTCTTCTGGGTCATGAAGATCTCCTCTACTTCCCGACACTTTCTGGCAGTTCACCTCTACTTTTTAAGTCTAGTTTCTCCCATTTTCCTCCCGCTAGTCTACCCTCAGTGTTTGCTTCTACCAGATACAAGAAATTCAATGGAGGATGTTCGCTTGTACCCAGGGATCTTATATTCTATTTCACCTGTATTAGATGTACGTACTGTAAATACTAGATCCAATCTTGTTGGCTCATGCCCTCGTCTCTCTCTCTCTCTCTCTCTCTCTCTCTCTCTCTCTCTCTCTCTCTCTCTCTCTCTCTCTCTCTCTCTCTCTCTCTCTCTCTCTCTCTCTCTCTCTCTCTTGTGTCCTTAACGTGATGGCACATACAATTCTCCATTACCACCTCCATCTTAGTTCTATATATTTCTGGACCATCATTGGGCCCCCAACTCTTCCAGACTATTTCTGTGTCGTTGAAATCTCCCAGGATTAGTTGTTATATCTGTGTTTTAGAGCTCTGCTTGCTACTTCAGTTGTAGTGTCACCCAGTGTTTGTTGATGTCTTCATACCGCTGTCTTGTAGATCACTGCTACTGTGTGTGTGTGTGTGTGTGAGTATGTGTGTGTGTGTGTGTGTGTGTTGTGTGTGTGTGTTGTGTGTGTGTGTGTGTGTGTGTGTGTGTGTGTGTGTGTGTATGTGTGTGTGTGTGTGTGGTGTCAGTCTCCTGGTCTTCTCAGTCAGTCCTCAGGTCTGGTAAAAGCCGGACATCTCAAACCACTCTCTCTCTCTCCCTCCAGTCCAATACTACTAAGCTTCCCCACCACCACCACTACTACCATCACTACCACCACCACTACCACCACCACTACCACCACCACTACCACCACCACTACCATCACCACCACCACCACCAACTACCATCACTACCACCACTACCATCACCGCCACTATCACCTCTACCACCTCCAATACCATCACCACCATTACTATCTCCACCACCACCAACACTACTAACACCACCATCATTACTATCACAATCACCACTACTATCACCACCATCGCTTCTGTCACCATCACTACCATCCCCACCAACACTTATACCACCACCACCCTCCATCAAAACCATCACCACCCCCACACTAACCAATATCACCACCACCTCTACCACCATCACCACCCCTACCACCACCACCACCATTCTATTTTAAGTGCACGTAAGACGCAATAATTGCATTTTGAAAGCGTTTTAAGTGAAGTAAACATCTTGAGAAACGACCTTCAAGATACGACCACGAAAAATTACTTGAAAATTGACGTTGAAAAATAACTTTACTTGGGAAAAAGGCCTTGAGAAAAGACTTGGAGAAATAACCTTGTTGAAGACCTTTAGAAAACTGACTCAGCTACGACCTCAGAAAACCACAGCAGAAAGAAACCTTGAAAAAAAATTATCCTGAAATATTGCTACTGAGAAATTACCTTACAAATTATTTTAAATAATTACAATGGAAAAATGATTTAGAGACATTTTTCAGTGATTGTTTTAGTGTTGAGTCGATTATTTTGTTTTACAGACTGACATATATGATTGTAGTGTTAAGATGTAGGGAACTTAGTCAACTTAATTGTTTGATGATGGTGTGTGTGTGTGTATGGTGATGGTGTGTGTGTGTATGGTGATGGTGTGTGTGTGTGTGTGTGTGGTGATGGTGTGTGTGTGTGTGTGGTGATGGTGTGTGTGTGTATGGTGATGGTGTGTGTGTATGGTGATAGTGTGTGTGTATGGTGATGGTGTGTGTGTGTGTATGGTGATGGTGTGTGTGTGTATGGTGATGGTGTGTGTATGGTGATGGTGTGTGTATGGTGATGGTGTGTGTGTATGGTGATGGTGTGTGTGTATGGTGATGGTGTGTGTATTGTGATGGTGTGTGTATGGTGATGGTGTGTGTGTGTATGGTGATGGTGTGTGTGTGTGTATGGTGATGGTGTGTGTGTGTGTATGGTGATGGTGTGTGTATGGTGATGGTGTGTGCATGGTGATGGTGTGTGTGTGTGTATGGTGATGGTGTGTGTGTGTATGGTGATGGTGTGTGTATGGTGATGGTGTGTGATGGTGATGGTGTGTGTATGGTGATGGTGTGTGTATGGTGATGGTGTGTGTGTGTATGGTGATGGTGTGGTGTGTATGTGATGGTGTGTCGTGTGTATGGTGATGGGTGTGTGTATGGTGATGGTGTGTGTGTGTATGGTGATGGTGTGTGTGGATGTGTGATGGTGTGATGTGTGTCATGGTGATGGTGTGTGTTTGGTGTGGTGGTGTGTGTTGTATGGTGATGGTGTGTGTGTATGGTGATAGTGTGTGTGTATGGTGATGGTGTGTGTTTGGTGATGGTGTGTGTTTGTATGGTGATGGTGTGTGTATGGTGATGTGTGTGTGCATGGTGATGGTGTGTGTTTGGTGATGGTGTGTGTTTGTATGGTATGGTGTGTGTATGGTGATAGTGTGTGTGTATGGTGATGTGTGTGTGTTGGTATGGTGATGGGTGTGTGTGTATGGTGAGTGGTGTGTGTGTATGGTGATGTGTGTGTGTGTATGGTGATGGTGTGTGTTTGTATGGTGATGGTGTGTGTATGGTGATGTGTGTGTGTGTTATGGTGATAGTGTGTGTGTATGGTGATGGTGTGTGTTTGTATGGTGATGGTGTGTGTATGGTGATAGTGTGTGTGTATGGTGATAGTGTGTGTGTATGGTGATGGTGTGTGTTTGTATGGTGATGGTGGTGTGTATGGTGATAGTGTGTGTGTATGGTGATAGTGTGTGTGTATGGTGATGGTGTGTGTGTTATGGTGATAGTGTGTGTGTATGGTGATAGTGTGTGTGTATGGTGATAGTGTGTGTGTATGGTGATGGTGTGTGTGTATGGTGATGGTGTGTGTGGTATGGTTGATAGTGTGTGTGTATGTGATAGTGTGTGTGTATGGTGATGGTGTGTGTGTATGGTGATGGTGTGTGTGTATGGTGATAGTGTGTGTGTATGGTGATAGTGTGTGTGTATGGTGTGTGATAGTGTGTGTGTTATTGGTGATAGTGTGTGTGTTATGGTGATAGTGTGTGTGTATGGTGATGGTGTGTGTGTATGGTGATAGTGTGTGTGTATGGTGATAGTGTGTGTGTATGGTGATGGTGTGTGTGGTGATAATGTGCCTGGTGGTGTGAGCGTGTGGTAAGAGTGCGAGTGTATGATAATGGTATGAGTGTGCGGTGATGGTTGTGGTGATTGTGTGGTGTTGGTGGTTGTGAGATGATGGTGATGATGTGATACTGGTGGTATTTATGTGATGGTAGTGGTTGTGAGTAATGGTGATTGTGTAATGTTGTTAGGAGTTGTGTAAAGATGGTGGTTGTGAGGTGGTGGAGGTCGTGTGGTAGTCGTAGTTGAGTGGTGGCAGTAGCTGACTGATTGGCTAGCAGACTGACTGGCTGGCTGGCTAGTTGTCCGGCTGCCCCACTTAATCTTTGATCGCTGACTAGTTGATCTGTCTAACTTGTATTTCTTTGTGAATAAATGTTGCACATAAGGCCTAGTTCTCTCTCTCTCTCTCTCTCTCTCTCTCTCTCTCTCTCTCTCTCTCTCTCTCTCTCTCTCTCTCTCTCTCTCTCTCTCTCTCTCTCTCTCTCTCTCTCTCTTTTCTAGTTTTTGTTTTTACCATAATGGGAATATTTTGGTTCTTATTTTCGCGTGCCTCAATGGCTGCTCGGCACTAAAGTTTAATTATCACATTTTTGGCGAGTTTTCTCCTTACACGAACAAAGCGAAACATAGTAAAAAATAGGAGTGTTATTTTCCTCTTACGGTTGATATGTTCTTCACGTTGTATATATATATATATATATATATATATATATATATATATATATATATATATATATATATTATATATATATATATATATATATATATATATATAGTTGAAATGTTAACTATCTCTAATCACTTTGTACATATCTCCTCCTGGCACTGACCCTTAAGGCACCTTTGGCACCTACCTCATTCTATATCGTATCTTTTCTCCGTGTTCTTTAATCCCATAGTAATGACAAACTAAGACATTCAGTCTTGTTTACTTGGAGTTAGGTCTCAATAATTATCAGCATCACTTTCTAAACTCATAGCAGCAGTAGCAACAGTCGTATCAGTAGCATAATCATTGTAGTAGCGTCGGTAGCAGCAATAATGGTAAAAATAGAATCGGTAGTGGTGGATAAATGGAAGTAGCAGCAGTAACAGTAACAGATGCTGCAGCTACAAATGCAGTAGCAGCAGCAGTAATAATACCAGTAACTAATTTAAGCTCGTACCGGTGATTCATGCCACATGAAGGACAATTCAAATGCTTATGGTCTGTTTCTTCTAGGAATTCTAGCCAGCGAGTGTTTTCCAGCAATTGATGTATAATATAGTGAGAGAGAAGTAATGCAGTGAGTGCCAGCTCTCCTGTGGTGAGATAGTATGAACGGTGGTCGTGTTGCAGCAGCTATAGTGAAAGTAAGAGAAAGGGTTCGTGGAGATAACGCTGCAGCAGCAGTAGCAGCAGCAGCAGCAGCAGCAGCATCAGCAACACAAGTGAGGAGTGTGAAGAGCAACAGCAGCAGCAGCAGCAGCAGCAACACAAGTGAGGAGTGTGAAGAGCAACAGCAGCAGCAGCAGCAGCAACAGCAGCAGCAGCAGCAGCAGCAGAGTATGGATCTGGCGCTGCTGTTCCTGTTGGCGACCAGTGTGGCAGGCGTCGTCTTCTTCCTGATGTGCCTGACTGCCTGCATCTACTGCCTTCTCGTACAGGAAAAGGGTGCCCCAAATATTTGGTCCATGTGAGTTGTCTGAACACCAGGGCGTCAAGGAAAATAATCAGCTCAGACTCCTAGTGCACTTGTACGAAAGTGCAAAAGAAGAGCCTCCACTTGCACACTTGCAGTAAGAGCACTTCAAGAGAACATCTACCATTCATACCCCCTTTGGTTAAAAAAAATTGAATCCCCGAATCACAAAGAACATTCGTATCAGGTTGAATAACTCTGAATAAAATTAAACCTGAAATTGAGGAAGAAAAGATAATGATTTTTATCAACATAAAACGTTTTTAAGAGTAACCTACAGTAAGAGTAACTTAGTCAGAAAGTGATGTTCCTCTCCACTCCGAGTCATCAATTATGAAGGACTCCCCTGCTCGCGTCTGGCTGGTGACCAGAGACGACCTCGCTCAGGACAACAGCAGCAATAGCCCTAGGACCTTCTTCAGGAGTAGTAGCCACAAGCGTGACACCAGTATCAGTGAGAATAGAGCTCTACTCGCCACCTCCACCGCCAGTAGTAGCCACAAGCGTGACACCAGTATCAGTGAGAATAGAGCTCTACTCGCCACCTCCGCCGCCAGTAGTAGCCACAAGCGTGACACCAGCATTAGTAACAGCATCAGTGAGCACAGATCTCTGTTGGTCACTTCCAGCGCCCCAGCCTCCTCCATCAGTACAAATCAAGGCAATCCTGGCTCAGCCTACAAGCGTTTTCGTCAGTGGATCGGGACACTTCTTCGATCCAGGATCAAACCCACGGATGTAGTACTAGTCAGGGGCATCTGCCAGCCACTGCTTAAAGACGAAGAATTGAATTCTGATGAAACGAAATAGCAAAATAATGAAAAGATTTCGGTATGGTTCTAATATAATGTGTGTTTGATTATGAAGCTCCGGTGATGGGAGGTGCTGCTTAATTTTGAGAGCTTAAAAGCTTTTATTGTTGATTGGCAGTTTAAGTAGTGAAAATTGTCTTGCTTAGTTCACTAAACTAACTCTTCCAGCTTCGAAATCTGTTGATTTTCTCTTAATGGTAATTAAGATGAAAACATTGCCATGAAATGCCCTGAATACAAAAAAAATATTAATATTTCTAGCAGCGTATATTGAATATTGAAATTAAATAATGTAACTTAATGAAATAAGGGAGAATCAATTAAAAAAAAACTTTTAAGCAAGCTGAGAAGGCTGTGTGGCATGACTCACTGACACCATGTCTAAATATTAGTAGCTCTGATTTTACTATCCTCTAAAAAAAATGCTAGAAGGCCTTTATAAACATGAACAGAATTCCTGCATAAAATATGAAAGTAATAAATACTATTTGACTGGCGCTTGTGACTGTCGTATACACTGACACTGCCATCACTGTTGTGGAGCCTCAGAGTTACTTCACTCGCCTCCAGTAAACCAGCTTCCAGGAACTCTTTTGTTGTCAAAAATAAATACACACGAGATTCAGCCGAAGGCATGAGGACGCTGCCTACACACAAGAAGAGGTGTCTGCAGCAAGTTGAAGACTCAACCAGCACGGAGACCTACTTCAAACACTAAGAGACGTCTTTACTTTCATGGGACGTGTGTGTGGGTGTGTGTGTGTGTGTGTGTTAGGATCCATATCACCCAAGGACCTGCAGTGGAGATCAGGCAGGTATCCCGAAAAGGAAAAACAAACTCGTTATGAGTATACATTATCAGCTTGAGCATATTATCGGACTCTGCGATATAACTACAGCATCATCTGAGAAATCAGAACCTGGGACAACAGTAGTATCTTCCAAGACATCAGAACCTGTGAAATGAATGCAGCCCCTTCTAAGAGATTAAAAGTCGTAACATACATGCAACAACTGAAAGATCAGAACCTGTGAAATGAGTGCAGCATATTTTGAGAATTAAGAATCTCTGAGTGAAGCATCTTAGAGATTACACCCTGACAGATGAGGGCAGCATCCTTCACCTGAGAGATCTTAACTTACGAAATGAGTGCAGCACTTGTCGCATGAAATCATTCTCTACGTGTAGCAGCTGACAGGAAACCATCTTCCCAGAGAACAGGCCAAGAAAAAAGGTAGAGTGATCCAGCTGTTGTGCCTGGAGTTCTGCTGCGCCTCTCTGCCACAGGTTCTTCTTGCTTGTTGCATGTTGCAGGTTCAATATGGAGTCACTGCCGCGACCTGTGTTGCTCCACAACTAAACTCACTTTAATTCCTTTTCTGTTCCTTTTTTTATTATGCAATATATTTGACTAGTAACACGTTTGTGTGTATTCACATATTTGTACTCATATATTTGTGGTTCAAGGGGTCGAGTCACAGCTCTTGGCCCCTCCTCTTCGCTGGTGTGTGTGTGTGTATGTGTGTTAAAAACTGACGCTAAACTATGAAATCTGACCTGACCTGACCTGACATGAAGGAGGTCAGCAGTCGCCCGACAGAATAGTGGACAAAGCCTGTAATTACCATTTGTATGAGCAGTAAATTATGATGCTTGTTATCTCTTTAATGAAGTGATTAGCGGTAATTAGCATTGATTCCAGTGCCGTGGGTCGGGAAATGGGAAAGAACGTGCCGTAGTAATGCAGCCACTGGCACTACACCAGGCTGGCAGCTAGTGGCGTAGTGATGCAGCCACTGGCACTACACCAGGCTGGCAGCTAGTGGCGTAGTGATGCAGCCACTGGCACTACACCAGGCTGGCAGCTAGTGGCTTAGTGATGTAGCCACTGGCACTACACCAGGCTGGCAGCTAGTGGCGTAGTGATGCAGCCACTGGCACTACACCAGGCTGGCAGCTAGTGGCGTAGTGATGCAGCCACTGGCACTACACCAGGCTGGCAGCTAGTGGCGTAGTGATGCAGCCACTGGCACTACACCAGGCTGGCAGCTAGTGGCTTAGTGATGTAGCCACTGGCACTACACCAGGCTGGCAGCTAGTGGCGTAGTGATGCAGCCACTGGCACTACACCAGGCTGGCAGCTAGTGGCGTAGTGATGCAGCCACTGGCACTACACCAGGCTGGCAGCTAGTGGCGTAGTGATGCATCCACTGGCACTGCACCAGGCTGGCAGCTAGTGGCGTAGTGATGCAGCCACTGGCACTACACCAGGCTGGCAGCTAGTGGCGTAGTAATGCAGCCACTGGCACTACACCAGGCTGGCAGCTAGTGGCGTAGTGATGCAGCCACTGGCACTACACCAGGCTGGCAGCTAGTGGCGTAGTGATGCAGCCACTGGCACTACACCAGGCTGGCAGCTAGTGGCGTAGTAATGCAGCCACTGGCACTACACCAGGCTGACAGCTAGTGGCGTAGTGATGCAGCCACTGGCACTACACCAGGCTGGCAGCTAGTGTCGTAGTGATGCAGCCACTGGCACTACACCAGGCTGGCAGCTAGTGGCGTAGTGATGCAGCCACTGGCACTACACCAGGCTGGCAGCTAGTGGCGTAGTAATGCAGCCACTGGCACTACACCAGGCTGGCAGCTAGTGGCGTAGTGATGCAGCCACTGGCACTACACCAGGCTGGCAGCTAGTGCCGTAGTGATGCAGCCACTGGCACTACACCAGGCTGGCAGCTAGTGGCGTAGTAATGCAGCCACTGGCACTACACCAGGCTGGCAGCTAGTGCCGTAGTGATGCAGCCACTGGCACTACACCAGGCTGGCAGCTAGTGGCGTAGTGATGCAGCCACTGGCACTACACCAGGCTGGCAGCTAGTGCCGTAGTGATGCAGCCACTGGCACTACACCAGGCTGGCAGCTAGTGGCGTAGTAATGCAGCCACTGGCACTACACCAGGCTGGCAGCTAGTGGCGTAGTGATGCAGCCACTGGCACTACACCAGGCTGGCAGCTAGTGCCGTAGTGATGCAGCCACTGGCACTACACCAGGCTGGCAGCTAGTGGCGTAGTAATGCAGCCACTAGCACTACACCAGGCTGGCAGCTAGTGCCGTAGTGATGCAGCCACTGGCACTACACCAGGCTGGCAGCTAGTGGCGTAGTGATGCAGCCACTGGCACTACACCAGGCTGGCAGCTAGTGCCGTAGTGATGCAGCCACTGGCACTACACCAGGCTGGCAGCTAGTGGCGTAGTGATGCAGCCACTGGCACTGCACCAGGCTGGCAGCTAGTGCCGTAGTGATGCAGCCACTGGCACTATACCAGGCTGGCAGCTAGTGGCGTAGTGATGCAGCCACTGGCACTACACCAGGCTGGCAGCTAGTGGCGTAGTAATGCAGCCACTGGCACTGCACCAGGCTGGCAGCTAGTGCCGTAGTGATGCAGCCACTGGCACTACACCAGGCTGGCAGCTAGTGCCGTAGTGATGCAGCCACTGGCACTACACCAGGCTGGCAGCTAGTGCCGTAGTGATGCAGCCACTGGCACTACACCAGGCTGGCAGCTAGTGGCGTAGTGATGCAGCCACTGGCACTACACCAGGCTGGCAGCTAGTGCCGTAGTGATGCAGCCACTGGCACTACACCAGGCTGGCAGCTAGTGGCGTAGTGATGCAGCCACTGGCACTACACCAGGCTGGCAGCTAGTGGCGTAGTGATGCAGCCACTGGCACTACATCAGGCTGGCAGCTAGTGCCGTAGTGATGCAGCCACTGGCACTACACCAGGCTGGCAGCTAGTGGCGTAGTGATGCAGCCACTGGCACTACACCAGGCTGGCAGCTAGTGCCGTAGTGATGCAGCCACTGGCACTACACCAGGCTGGCAGCTAGTGGCGTAGTAATGCAGCCACTGGCACTACACCAGGCTGGCAGCTAGTGCCGTAGTGATGCAGCCACTGGCACTACACCAGGCTGGCAGCTAGTGGCGTAGTGATGCAGCCACTGGCACTACACCAGGCTGGCAGCTAGTGGCGTAGTGATGCAGCCACTGGCACTGCACCAGGCTGGCAGCTAGTGGCGTAGTGATGCAGCCACTGGCACTACACCAGGCTGGCAGCTAGTGGCGTAGTGATGCAGCCACTGGCACTACACCAGGCTGGCAGCTAGCGGCGTAGTGATGCAGCCACTGGCACTGCACCAGGCTGGCAGCTAGTGGCGTAGTGATGCATCCACTGGCACTGCACGAGGCTGGCAGCTAGTGGCGTAGTGATGCAGCCACTGGCACTACACCAGGCTGGCAGCTAGTGGCGTAGTGATGCAGCCACTGGCACTACACCAGGCTGGCAGCTAGTGGCGTAGTGATGCAGCCACTGGGACTACACCAGGCTGGCAGCTAGTGAAGGAGGATCGTTAGTATGTGTTTTTTAAATATGCATGTATGTATGTATATGTATATATATATATATATATATATATATATATATATATATATATATATATATATATATATATATATATATATATATTTATGTATATATATATATATATATATATATATATATATATATATATATATATATATATATATATATATATATATATATGTACATGATGTTATCCTGACGCCAAATGACTTCGAACAGACGATAAATGACATGCCCATGCACTCTGCCCCAGGGCCAGACTCATGGAACTCTGTGTTCATCAAGAACTGCAAGAAGCCCCTATCACGAGCCTTTTCCATCCTATGGAGAGGGAGCATGGACACAGGGATCGTCCCACAGTTACTAAAAACAACAGACATAGCCCCACTCCACAAAGGGGGCAGTAAAGCAACAGCAAAGAACTACAGACCGATAGCACTAACATCCCATATCATAAAAATTTTTGAAAGGGTCCTAAGAAGCAAGATCACCACCCATCTAGAAACCCATCAGTTACACAGCCCAGGGCAACATGGGTTTAGAACAGGTCCTAAATGCACTAGAAGACAAAAAGAATGCAGATGTAATATATACAGACTTTGCAAAAGCCTTCGACAAGTGTGACCATGGCGTAATAGCGCACAAAATGCGTACTAAAAGAATAACAGGAAAAGTCGGTCGATGGATCTATAATTTCCTCACTAACAGAACACAGAGAGTAGTCGTCAACAGAGTAAAGTCCGAGGCAGCTACGGTGAAAAGCTCTGTTCCACAAGGCACAGTACTCGCTCCCATCTTGTTCCTCATCCTCATATCCGACATAGACAAGGATGTCAGCCACAGCACCGTGTCTTCCTTTGCAGATGACACCCGAATCTTCATGACAGTGTCTTCCATTGCAGACACTGCAAGGCTCCAGGCGGACATCAACCAAATCTTTCAGTGGGCTGCAGAAAACAATATGAAGTTCAACGATGAGAAATTTCAATTACTCAGATATGGTAAACACGAGGAAATTAAATCTTCATCAGAGTACATAACAAATTCTGGCCACAAAATAGAGCGAAACACCAACGTCAAAGACCTGGGAGTGATCATGTCTGAGGATCTCACCTTCAAGGACCATAACATTGTATCAATCGCATCTACTAGAAAAATGACAGGATGGATAATGAGAACCTTCAAAACTAGGGAGGCCAAGCCCATGATGACACTCTTCAGGTTACTTGTTCTATCTAGGCTGGAATATTGCTGCACACTAACAGCACCTTTCAAGGCAGGTGAAATTGCTGACCTAGAAAATGTACAGAGAACCTTCACGGCGCGCATAACGGAGATAAAACACCTCAATTACTGGGAGCGCTTGAGGTTCCTGAACCTGTATTCCCTGGAACGCAGGCGGGAGAGATACATGATTATATTACACCTGGAAAATCCTAGAGGGATAGTACCGAACTTGCACACGAAAATCATCACTACGAAAGCAAAAGACTTGGCAGACGATGCAACATCCCCCCAATGAAAAGCAGGGGTGTCACTAGCACTTAAGGAAACCATAAAATAAGTGTCGGGGGCCCGAGACTGTTCAATGCCTCCAGCATACATAAGGGGGATTCCAACAGCCCCCGGGCAGTATTCAAGCTGGCACTGGAAAGCACTAAAGGGCGGTTCCTGACCAGCCGGGCTGTGGCTCGTACGCTGGTTTGCGTGCAGCCAGCAGCAACAGCCTGGTTGATCAGGCTCTGATCCACCAGGAGGCCTGGTCACAGACCGGGCCGCGGGGGCGTTGACCCCGGAACTCTCTCCAGGTAAACTCCAGGTAAATATATATACATATATATATATATATATATATATATATATATATATATATATATATATATATATATATATATATATATATAATAGATAGATAA